ACAGTGGAATAGCAAGCAGTTCACAGAGATCGTTAACCAAGACAAAACATACTCGGTTGGACTGTGAGCGAGGATATTCTACTGCATAATGAGGCGATTTAGAAGATTTTGCCATGAAAGCCACTTCACGTCTGCCAGTAAAAGCTTCTGGAGACTGGTAGAGACAAGACCGTCCTGCTGAAGGACGTTCTGGGGCTCGAGAATTCGACGACGGAGGGTGAGCTTGTCGTAAGTCGATAGGTGGTTTCAGCTCCGGAGAGGCTGGTTTATTCGGAAGATTGACAGTAGGACCCGCCGTTTGTATGAACTGGGGATACTGGAGGGCTATCTTATGTATCTGAAGCAGAAAGAAAAAGTAAAGAAGCGGTCATTCGTCGTCCATTTCTCTCATTTGTCATCCAGTAAAACTATGTAAGGATATGCAGCAGAAATACGGGAGTAATAGGGCTGGAACGACCATGTCAAAAACCACTAATTAATGGTTTTTCTATACTCACAACATTGCCTTCATAAATACAACCTAGCGATCAGCTGTGGTAATAATTTATGAAAGGAATGTTCCATTGCGATTAACTGAGGTTGATTCGACCAAAATTGGCATGGTGTGGATAGATGTAGCCTGAGAACACAAACTACACGTGTGCAACTGTTGCTCTGTGGGTCGAGAAGGTTTTTTTAGGTTGCGATACCAGCTCCACAGAATCCAGGCCCGAAGTCCGGTCCAAAGCATGTGCTGGAGGAATAGTGAGAGCACGTTCGCCTCGCATGTCCGGAGTTCCGATTCCGGCACGGTCAAGGATGTACAAAACTGATGGGCTCTAATAAAATAGGAATACCAGTTCAGTGCTTCTCCGATATAGTGTGGGCTCATCGGAGAATAAGTGCACCAGGTAGAAGGACTGTTCAAACGAAAGTCATATGAATGTGAACTTGACTTAGTTGATTGGATGCATCCTAGCTGTCAAATCAAAACTAGGTTAGAACGAAATTGAATTTCAATCATTTCAATAAAAACACGAAGCGGATGTGAAATTTGCTGAAAACAAGGAAAAGATTATTTTTGTACAGCAGGTTGATTTCAAATCGTGAATTCCTGGGTATGGTTTAGGAGGTTTCAGGGATTATCACCACCAGGGAAGAACTTCTGACACCGATGAAGCTGCAAGAGTGTGCGACCAGTCAGTTTATTAGTGCAGATGCAATGATCTGTTTTCGAGACCATAGGCTTAAACGCAAAACTGTCGATCGTTGCGGCTCACATTCAGCTGTATTCTCAACCCAAATACGATTACTGACGAGCTGAAGTAACCAACTATCCTTTGTAGGGGCTCACCACTGCACTTCTGCGTAAACCTTCGTCAATGTGTCCTAAGTAAAGGTGATAAGTTGTGCAAATAATCCGAATTAGCGGATTCATTACAAGTTTCTAGGTATTCTCGGGTCTTACTCGCCATTTTAGCTGCATATCACAACATTGCAAAAACCACTCTTGATTCGCTCTGTAAGGTTTGCAATTGGTTCGATATTTTCAAAAGAACACTATGTAGATTCACAACGTTTGTTGCGGCGTAACGAGCCTCATGAAGTGATTCGGAGGATGAACCAAGATAAGGCATCCATTACAAGAGTTCCTGCATATGCTTCACTTGTTTAGGGCCGCTCTTGTATCAAAGCTGTTTGAAGAGCTTTCAGGCCAGAAGGGATGACTGAAACCACCCATCTACCTCTCCCAGCAAAAGAGCATGGATGTTAAGAATTGTGCTTGCATGGTTACTTGGTAAAGCACAACTTACATTCTCCATAGGTTGACTTATTCACAGTATTCCAGGTTAGGTAAGAGATGTATAGAGTGATTAGTTTACCCCGATAGAGTCCACTGTTTACACACGCCCAAAATATGTTCACCGATGCACCGTCACCGTCGTGAATCCTCGCGGAGGCATTCTTTGCCCGTTGAATGACGAAAACCTACAGCTAATTTACAGACAATCCAGTGGAACATATATAAGGATAGAGAAAATGGGACTACTTGCAACCAGATTAGCCTCGGACAACTATGCAATCCATGCAGAAAGCAGACACGTTTTCCGCCCATTAGAAGGCATTCCAACATGGTGGTCGGTTTTCAAGGTATATGGATCAGTCGTTTCGTCTTCAGTACTGAAGTTTCTCATGAACGTTTATGGTTTGAACATGGTCACACCGTGTCAGGCAGCTTGATATGGTCACTAAACTGAAAAATCTGTTATTCATTAGAGTGATATGGTCACTTCAGTTGTGAATTACGTGCTGGAAGGGTTCAATCGAGCATTGTTCGATAAAAACGAGGCTAGCTGATGAGCGGCAGAATAGACAGTGTGTAGTCCATTCCAAAGAATAGCCTACATTCGCCACCGGTGGGAAATGGCAAACAACTAAGAGGTTTTTTGTAACCAAATTAGCGCACGATGTCAGCTGATTTGAAGAAGCGTTAGTTTGAGTTAAGAAGACAATACATTCGTGCACAACGTCCACAAGTTGGCTGAGGCATTATCAAAGCCTTTAGAGTTTCACCATTCGGAAGCGGATGGTTGCTAACCGAAGTGATCAGAAGTCTCCTATCCGAGTTAATTATACTTACTTGTTGGGGTAGTCGCGTCTACACCCGGGGGACCGTAACCCAACGTTTCAGTGATTCTATCCTGGTATTTATATGACTGCTTACTGAAGAAAGTGTAAGCTTAAGCAGAGCCACTCGACAGGATGGTGTACCAGAGTTGCACAGTTTTACTTAAGTACCAACTGCACAAAGGAATTAGCATCACCATTCTTACCTCAATGGTTGAGAATAGACAATGAGATTAGTGCCCTTATTATGTTGACGCAAACATGTCTCGTTTATCTGTCTCAATCACAGCTCAGTGACAAGAAGCATTTAGAAGCAGCAAACAGGGTCTGGGTCAACTACATTCTATTGGCTTGGCATGATCATGCAAGAGGACCAGAGCCTAAAAACGAACCTTTTGGAAGAGCCACAGGGGCACAGTGAACGTCTTCAATTGATCCACGTCGTCAGCGTCGTTGTTTGCCTCATGCGTTTGTCTGTAATACTGTCCAATCTGGCGAACCTGATCCGAATGCATTAGGAAGGCCTTGACACCTTGACTTGTCAGTAGTCCGGAATTGAAAAGCCAGGATTTGTCCTCAGTATCACAAGGGTAGCGGAATAATTCCGGGTGCTTTGTATAGATGCGTCCACGAGCAGCACCCAGGCCAAGCCAGCTGTAAATGAGAGATACCGGGTTGACGTCTGTTACATATACACCTCGTGCAGAGTGTACTTAGCATGACTGCAATAGGAAGAGGTTGCCGAGGCTGGATCAGAAGGATGAACGCTAGAAAAACGGCCACTGGAATTAAGGCAGCCCCGAGTCTACCCATATAGTGGCCAACATTAATGGAAAATGTCAATGGAAAATGTCAACTTACGTGTTTGCATTGGATCCCAGGGTGAAAGTAGTATTTTGGTCGAATACCAGAGGAAGAGAAGCCTGAGTGGTGGCTGAAATTGACGTCAACGAGGCGTTCCATTGTTGTCTGGATCTAAAATTTTGACGATCAGTAGAGAAATCATACCGCTAAAAGCAATGAGGTGGAAAACAGGAAAAACAGCCCCACTAAAGCTGTCAAGTAGTTTGCGAGTGGCTATTTCTATCCTTGTATGGCAGACATTTTTGCACATTCCGAGATGGATAAGTGGCTCAGCGAACTTGCTGGATGAATGTAGTGAAGCCGGTTGTGAACACTATACAGGTACACTCAAAGCGCCTAGATTTTTTAAATCATCTGCAACTGGCCAAGACCGATAGGATCCATTGGAAAGGAAAATTTATCCATCGATTTTTAAGCTGCACGAGGGAGACTACACAAGTAATAATGCTGTCTCGAGAGATGACAAGAAAACCCTACTTGACGGGCTACAGTGTCAGCAGAAGCGGTCAGCTGAAGTTGGTTGTTGAATGCAATATATACCCCAATACATGTCGTGAGGTAAAGATATGGACATATTCCGGAGCGAGCACGCTGTCCGTGACCTAGTTAATTGACTGCACTGAACAAATAGTGTCACAAGTCTACTGTTCTTTGCATGAGAGGCCGGTAATTTATGATGCGTGACACGGAGAAATGGACACTGACACGTTATGAAGTAAGACACACGCTGTATTTATGTGGAGAAGAGGAAAACGCAACAATGACCCAACTACTTGCTGCACCATATCAGATGTCTGCAAAGCTGGTAGAGATGTTCATTAAGTCGAATTAGTTTTTTGGTTGCTTGTTCCTCGTTCAGTTTCTTTTGGTTCGTTGGTTTGTTCTTCTTGTTCTTTTTAATTCGATGTACTTTCCAAAGAAAATACTCCTGCTCTCTCGAGTCTATAACGTGGAAACTCGAAACAGCGAACTCACCGGCAAGCTACCGATGGCCGTGTCGTATTCACCTGGAAAAAAAAACAAATGAGCACTGAGTAGATTAATCGAGAATTGGGATATACACAAAAGAGTACCACTGTTTGGTACCAACCGCGCCCAAACAAAGTTGGAATCCACAAGGGACACAATCCCAGATTCGGAAAACGTAGAAAAGTTAACTTCGGGTCGTATAATATACTATGTCCATCATACATTCACGAACATTGTGGACTTTCTAGATCTCATCCGGTAGCAGTGCAGAAACCCCTCGGGAGCATTCGTTTCACTGGATATTTGCGGCATTCCAGAAGCAATAGACTACCATGCGTGCTGTTGTGCGGTCTCTGGTAGAGAAATGCACATTGACCGATACGAACACATAGCACTTCAGGTCATTCAATTCTAAAGGCAGCGAACAGAACGTTGGAAAGGAGTCTTCAACCTGGATCATCTGAATTTCACCGGAATACCAACGATGTCACGGGAATTAGCAACGAGACGTTGCAGTCATACTGTTAAGGTCAGCAAACAAACCAACTGATTGTACTGCGTACTCTGGTGTTGTGACCAGCTTCAGATCTCCACATGTCTGTGAACAGCAAGGAAGAATCCCAAAAGCGCTTGCACTCGACTTGTGTGAGCGACCGCAGAACAATACAGCAATCCTCGAGAAAACTATGTAAACTCAGCCGCATTAGACAGGTAGACGCGGTCAGCAAGCACTAAAAACGGTCTCTTGCGAGTGACCTGAACAGCCATGGGGTCATGTCAGAGGGGGGTCAATAGAGGGAAGATCGTTGAAATACTCACAGTTAAGTTGAGAGTCTCACAGAATGCAAGCCAGCATGAAAGACAAATGCGAAAAACATGAGAGCTACTCTATCACTAGCACTTCAGAAAGTCTACACAAGTCATAGTCTGAGCGAGATAGTTGAACCTAACCATGGATAAGCATGGTAAGCATCAGTTGGACAATAGTGGGAAAGGACTGGAAATCGGAAATAAATAGGAAAACAAAGTTGTAAATCTTTCCGAGTTTAACATGGAAATATTTATTTCGTTGCAAAACAAGGGTCATTCTTTGGTCGTTTGTTTGCTTCTTGGCTTTCATGCACTGAGACAAAGAATCAGGACATACCAAACTGACAAAACGACTAGCGCTGGGCAATGTCTCTTGAGGACAATAATTTAGCACAAGTTCAGGCACGCACGTAGTGTCCCGTTCCACACAGCTCTCACGGCACACATGACAAAAATGGGTAGGGTAGGCTGAAATACACCGGGATAGTGCGACCAGCCTCCTGGGTTGTACTGTGGTGTTCAGTGAAAATACAAGGCAATACGTATGTATCAACCAAACTGTGATGCGTCCGTTTTAGCTCATTATGAACCAGTAGTCTACGGATATAGTCATAACCATACAACGGAGAACACTTGGAACGATTCAGAGGTCAACCATTATTACCGGTTAAGAAAAGCGATTGAACTTCACATAGAAAAGTAATCACAAGGTCGCTTACAACTCTTCAACAGCTCACAACCGGTCTCGCCCTCTATATAGCTAATCAGGTAGGCACAGTCCCCAAGTTTCTGTCAACCTTGTGTTCTAATTGAATCCAAATTCTACAGATTTCGACAAATATACTCATTTGTATACCACTTTATATTTCGCGGAAGGCTCAATTGAATCTCTCGTTTATAATATTCTTCAACTGAATGTACCGCACAAAGGCTGCCTCATGTTTCACCTAGTAAGATACACAAGATATTACAGTGTATTTTCATACAGCATTAAACATTATATAGGCTGCCTGTTTATCTATGAGCTGGCTTAGAGTGCTTCTGTCCGATCAAAATAGTAACGCGCGCGAGCGAGCACAAGGTACAACTACTTCTTTCTTCTGTCACCGCTAAACATTGAACGCCTGAATTCGATAACATGATACCGAAGATCGAGCCAAACGTCAAATCGCAGCTCAAATTAGGATGACCAATTAGGGATAGAAACCTTTACTGGGTCAAAAAGACATTTGGAACAAGAGATTAAGCGGGGAGATAAATCCTGTCTTCGGCTGAACGATCGACAGCTAAAGACAATAAGTAGTAGTACACACAGCGGCGGTAAGCAGTGATCCAGAGTGCGATGTGAAATATACTGGTTACACGGTTACCAATTCGTCTTTGCACATAACTGAGAGTCAACTAACACCTCATTAGCACAGATCCGTCGCACAGCATTGCCGTACAGCTGACTGTAGATAGCTATCGAGTTTGGAATCACCCATGAGCATGGGCCACGTCTTGCGATTTGGGGACTGGTCGCGTTTTAGCTGCATATCTACGTTTCCGTACATGATTTCAAACCGTTCAGTATCGGTTTCTAGCCTACTGACCAACTTGACGTGCGCTTGTTGTGAGGAGCATTCAGTAAGCTAACATTCATTGGTAAGAACACATCTCGAGGGCCAAAGTCCGCAATGGATTCAGTCATTTTCCTTGTTTATTAAAGTATAATACCGTGACGAGGGGTAATGTAGCAATGAATCGATTCCGGAGGCGGAAATACGTAAGCTACTGTATGCAGGATATCGACCAGAAACCTCCTGATCATCGGAGCGAAACGAGTGCCGAGGATGAAAAAGGAAGAAGGGAATGAAAAAGGATAAACGGCAAACAGTTTTGATGGTGGTATTTCAAAAATTATCTACCGCTGTGAAATTCCAGAAGATAAACATGTCTAGCAAATCACATATAGTGAGGTAAGTAGGATCCTATGGAGTTCAGTATAAGTAAAGTTACTTGTTTGTGGTCTCCCCTAGTGTACTGAAATCAATAGTTCAGAAAATACGAATCCAGGGCCTGATTTATGCTCAACGTAGCTCTTCACCTTCACTTTTCAGTTGATCACATTAAAAAATAAAAAATGTTCCCTTCTGCTAACAATAAATCTGACAAAGCGCTCTGACTGCCGAAACGCGCAGCAGTTTAAACTCTTTTTCTGATTCGTAGTTTGTTTCTCATTTGCTATTCTTGTTTAACCATTGTTAATTACTTGGTTTTGCATTCCCTGTCCCAGATAAGTGTGACTTGAGAGCTTTTGGCAGTTGAAACAGTTAAAAACAGTGATCAAGGTCTTCTATCACCTTTTGGACAAAGTACTGAAGTAGTGTCGCATAATTGGCTATTCATGGGAAAAGTATAGGATCTGTTCGGTTATCTCCAAAACATCAATGCACTCATTTCTCACAACTCTTAAACGGTAGAGCAGCTGCGCTATTCTGCGTTACAATCCTGCATCGAAAATGACCGCATAGATGGTCGCCGTATCAACGAGCCCCATAAGGGTAAGTTATAGGTTGTACTTTCGATGTCGACAGGATCGCAATCAGCATAATCTTTGCATCAAATTAAGATCCGTTCAGTGCGTGTACCAGGCACTGTTCGCATCATGTTGGCATCAAGCTGTTAGATAATCATGCTGCAAAAGTCAGACCTTGCCCGTCAGATTAGAATGCACTGGAAATCTTAGTTACAGTCGGACCGGCTACAATTTAGCTCATAAATCGGCTGAACAAACTGGTGTGACTGGTGCATAAAAGGGCGCAATCAGAAAGGAAGGGTTCAACACCATCTGTAATGTATGCGAAGATGTCTGATGTCAAACACTTGAGTGATCAGCCACAATGTTCACATGTTGGAAAGATTGGCAGCTTAGGAGTTCCAGACCAACACGGCTGTTAAACAGACAGAGCGCCGTGTTGTCCATAATGTGAAAAGTCTAAAGAGAAAACTACGCTAAGTTGTGACTTTAGACTTTCCATATTTGGCAGCCTAGTTTGCGGAAACTAGTCTACCTTGATCAGATGTAACGGATACGTGTTTGTGTTTCACAACATTAGATACTATCCACATATTTATTCACTTGGTCGTGATATTTCTCGGTTCCCGGTCGCCCAATCGGCTCATTAGGCGGCCTAAATTTAAAAGGGACGCTGCATTTGTCCACTTGTGTTCGGAATGCACGTGCTACAGTCCAAACTTATACTGCATTCCTATTGTAAACCAGCGTGTGTTCGATAGCCAGATCTATCTGGATCGATTCCTGAAGGACGTTGGTTCGCACCGGGAAAGGGATTTCTCCCTAGTTGGGAATTTCAAGGGGAGGCCTTGAGTTTTGAAGGCTGAAGTGTCGACCATTGGTTCGACTTATCCGACACTTAAATAACTAGATTTTAGTCTTTATCAGTTTTTGGATTCCAGATTTACAAGTGTTCCGCTGTTACTACAAACTGAAACATTGCTGACAATCGCCTGTGCGCACACCTCGTTCCTCACGAACTCGGTGCGAACAAATGCCTGTTCCTGTTGGTTCACTTTAAAACGGCGTTTACACTAACTTGACAGACAATAGAATGGTCTGCCCCCTTAACCCACAGTCGTGCTCGAAAGTTGTTGTCAGTATCCAAAGCGTATTTGACATAGAACAACACGGTGTTTTTGCACGACCCTTGAAGACAAGAATTCACGTTCACATCAATCACGTTTGAACGGCTCCTCCTGTCCGGTGCAATTACTCTTGTAAAACCACACCAAAGGGACTGCACTTGATTCTAGCCTTGCTCTCATTAGGACTCATCACAAACACATACCCTTCGCCATGCCGGAAGCTGATTACCAGACATCTGGAATGAGAGGCCAGTATGTTACCACTATTCTACCACATCAGACATGACGACGTTGAATTTCACTTCTCACAAATACTGTTGAACGACGACAGCGAATCTACTCACTCGGTCACTGCTTAAGGTTCTGCGAATAGGTACCAGTTAGGATTTTCTGGAAGCCACGCTACCAGGGCACATGTCAAGCTGGTGTGTGTTTTGGGTGGCAGGGCTGAGTTTACCTTGCTAAGTCGGACTTCAGACGGTATTCGATTGTGCGCTGGTAGGCTTAATAAGTCATGTAAAGTGAGTACGACAGTATCATTTATACCCACGCATCCGTGGAGTGCGGCCCCGAAACAAGATTTTATCAACGTGTGCATGATCTGCGCAGCTGAGTAAACAGTTCAGATACAGTGTTTTAGGCTAAAATATGGATACACGCCCGGGGTGCCCAGTTTTTGATGCGGCCCGTTTAAGGATGTCTGTTCTAGGATATTGAGCGATCCGACAACAGAGGCAGGTTTGGTTATGCATAAAACACAGCCTGTTCATCTGAAATGTCAACTTACAGAAGTCGATCCACTACCTGACGTCATCATCGAACGAATCATGTTGCTACTAGTTGTCGAGGACGAGGTTACGTCGAAAACTACCGCTCCCGCTGGTCAACATGTGTTAAATACGACCACGAGCCGGTGACGACCAAGATGTCATTATTAGGTGGACGGTTAAAAGTTAACACTGAAAACTTTGATCCTGTCAGAATAAACTCGTCGCCAATCTAATCTCCCCTCACCCCACCTACAGACTGGTGGTTTCCAGTGTTAAACACAGTTCGAATCAGTCATTCTGCTGAATCAACTAATTACTGCGCCAGAAGGCAGTGGATATTTACCTGTTCTCTCTAGTTACTCGGCCTTCCAACGGCTCAAATTACCGGCAGATGGTATGCACAACAGTCTATAAACTACACAAGGATAGATCATGAATTACGATGAAGTGAGGGTGAAGTTGAAAACACAACCAGAAGTTCTTGAACCCTGTTTCAATTAGCTAGGTGACAATATAGTGAAAGTACTCTTGAGATAAATCGTACAGTGCTGAGATAAACACTATCGGTGGTGAGTGAATTGGCTATCGAAATGTTTCACACCATACCATATGAAAAAAACGCCGCAACAAGTTTACTTATTATGAAAGCTTCTCATAAAGACGGGAATAACAGCGGGTCTACTGCGTTGAAGAGCCATGGAAAACCGCGTCTTGATGACCCCCCAACAGCTTTATGCAAAAACGGTGAGATAGTGTTTGTTAGGGAACCCACTTCCTTGCTATCCAAGAGGGACTTTCAAGAAAATATCAAAGAAAGATTGTGCCAACCATAGATGGTCCAATCTTAGCAGCACTGTCTCTGAACTGTTAGGTTATGTAACTCTCCGAAGGCTACGTCAATACCGTGAAGAGTAAACAGGTGAGCCGGATTTCGAGCTGGAAAGGGATGAAATAACTACATCTTCATTCCACGTCAAATTCCAAAAGACTATCTTGTGTCATTTCCGCCTACACGTGCGTCTTCAGGCTTTACTGATCGAACGAAATTAGGAAAATAACAGTCGACATTTGGAGTACCTAACAAATAGGGGCCACCCTTGAAGTCACACATAATAACTGAAGTCAAGTTAATAGTCACTCTTCTGTTTCAGTGGTGTTCGACACAGGTATAGTCCTTTCCTCTTCATTTTTGCTGTGGACGATACATTGGGTAAGTCGCTAGAAGGTTGCATTGGAAATATGGGCAGAACTGCTCCCAGCTTATTGCTCAGCGGATACGGAGAATGTCGATAATATCGTTGTAGGGAGTGGTGGCGCTAGTCAGACAAGAACAACTGAACCGCCCAAGAGTGAAGACCTATTGGCTCAGGATGCCCCTTGCAACATGCGAATGTAAAAATCGATTCTTAGGACTGCTAAGGGTTCAAGAACACAATAGATGATGACACCGTAGAATGAGCACACCGTTTTGCACAGTTGGTACGCTGGATGAAACTTGGTGGAATGAGACCAGGTGCTTCTGTTGATAGTACAATGTGAATCTGTCAATGTGAGACATCTCTGGGACCAACATGGGGACACATTGTGTCCACAGTGGTGACGACACCACTGTGTGCTCCACGCCACAGTAAGGTAGCAGAAATCGGTCAACTCGTGCCGAAGACGTTCAGCTATTATCACTTCGACAGTTGATTATATAGTAGTGCTCACATCTGGCATCATCATCGGGTGGTTAATGAAAATACGTGTCCGGGAATGCATCGCGCACCCAACCCATCTATTGAGACTACCATTTGGACGAGCGAGTTAGGCTGCTCAGGATTCCTTAGTATGCCACCACAACACCTATCATACTGGGAGTTGTTTGCAGGCTCTCAGAGTAACTGGAAGAAACAAAGACATGAATAAGCGAAGGCGTTGCGAGGTGATTCGGAAAATCTGACCGATAACCTATGATATATGGGATTGCATAGGTTTCTGAACATTCCAGAACATGGACATTTGGTTGAATGAATTGCGCTACCCAAAACGGTCGCCTCGTCAGCAATACAACATCTGAGCAGCTAGTAAATTTTTACGCCTTAGCTGTGTACAACGGTGATACTTTTACAAACAGCAGCCTATTGGAATGACCAACGCACCTGGAAGTGTAAATAAAATGCCCAATGAATTGTTAAGCTGCGAGCTTTTTTCGCCCCGTAACTCATGTGCAACCCGAGTAGAATACGAGGTCCCAGATGAGCAGCTTAGCCAAGCATAAACGAAAGCGGTACAAAAGAGGGTTGGATATCCATTAAAATCCTGTCGGTCAGCAGTCACATAAAAATTTTACAGCAGTCCTTAACTAATGAGGAATACTGTATGTGTGGTTACGAAAATGCATTAATGTTGAAACAGTTATGCTGAATATGGTGGGGTTTTTCTTGCGAGTTTGAGTTGAAAATATTAGTGCACGGAATAGACAGAAATCAGTGCGGAATAAACTGTAACCTGTAGATATAAATTAGGATTTTCGTCACGAGTACAAGCCAATGGGCGCGAAACCGCTTACCTTGACCTGATTACTTGTTCTCCGACTAGCACCGCCACCACGCCGCCAAGAGGATTGATTGTGAACGATATCTACTGTTCGTCTTACTTTTGGACGGCGTGCATAGCCTCCCACATTGAACCAGGTCAACGAACGTTTCCTAGCGCGTTTCAACCTGTCTTTCAAAGAAGAACCACGCTTGAGCCTGGAGTGCTGGTCAAATTTTTTATGTTCACCAGTTGAAGCACCTTGGACATGCTCATCTGCAGCGCAAGCCTCGAACGAATACACTCGGGAGGCCATATTTTGTCGAGATTGTTTGCAATATGAATCGATTTTTGACTGTTCAGCTACTGCACTCAGTGGTGCTGTCTTTGGAGTGATTGGGCAGTCCTCTGGGCTAGATAAGTTGTGGAAGAACCCAACCGTGGAATTGGAGGAAGTTGAGGATGGAGAATTCATCGGAGAAGCATCAAGTGAGGTATTCGAGTACAAATCATGGAATTTCAGCGGATTGAGGATCACAGACGGTAACTTGGGATTTAACTTATCACAGTCGGCACGGGAAAGGGGAACAACCGGGTGGGAATGACCAAGTAGAGAACGGTTAGAGAATAAAGAAACATCTGAGATATTTGACGAAGGTCGATTAACTGACGACTGCTCCTCAGACAAGGGAGACAGATGAGGGGAGACTGTACAGCTTGTGCCCTCGTCTAGTTCTGCGGCGGAGGCACTAACTTCATCTCTGAAGTCCTCTGTGTTCAACAGCGGATGAAATGCAAGGGACCCCGACATCTGTCTATGATTACGTTTCAGCATAGGTGAGGTAGTGTGTGGTTGTGACTGCATTCTTTTCGATTCGGAATTCGGGTGTGACTGTTCCTGAGAATTCTCCATGGCCGAACTTTCCGCAGATGAAGGGTGGGGTTCATGTTTTGGAAAATATTGCAAAGCCACCTACAAGAACAGAAAAGACAAACAAAACCGTGTTACCTTGAAATACGCCAATGCGTTCTGACGCAAGTGTGAATTAATGAAGTGCAGTGCAAACTTGGCTGTACACCAGGAAAATTTGGAAGCGTGACAAGCGTAGGAAAGGCAGACCGAATTGAGCGCTATACGGTCACACGGGAAGGGAAGAATTAAAATACGACACTGAAGGCATTAGACTCCGGGCTGGCTGTTCATGACGATAATGGACAGAAGCTTAAGGAAGAGGGAGTTGATGTCCCAACAGCCAGATCATCCTAGGCTGTCGAAAACTTCTCAACAACCTTATGAGTAGCGTGTTACGTCTATATTAAAAAGGTGATTCTGTTGAAAACTGCCAACCATCTTTCTACTCACAAAGTATCAGTAGGCGTTCGGAAAATCAGTTCTTAAGGGGCCAGTGCCAGTACACGAGTATGGTTCAGTGGTTTAAGATGAGTGCCACGAAATGGTGGATCAGGGAAAAGCATCCATGTTGAATATATGCAACTTGACCCCTATTCCAAAACAGTGCCAATCAATAAAAACCAGGAAAATCGTTCTGTTCCGGGGGTGACAGCCTCTTGTTTTGAGGGGGAGACTAGTGAATAGGTCAGTAGTTTTGTATAACTGAATGCTCCTGAAGTTAGTTCTAGATCGATTATCTTTGTAGATTGAATCTGGTTTGCACCGTATTCCTGTGATAGAGCAGTAGCCTGAGTTGCGACAATTTCAACACAAAAATTCTGTAACTTTTAAGCAAGTGCGCGGTCGCAGTAAAACGACAACTGCCGGTAACAAAATAACGTGGCCACCTACCTTTCAACCCAGGCTACCGGAAGCAAGCACACTTACAGCAAGCACTGTTGGCATAGCTTCAAGGTACATGCGAAAGTTTGTGGCAGAATGTTGCACGGATGGATCACCAGCCAATCAAGTCTCCATGAGTGAATACCCTTCGAAGAAAAAATCGCAACAAATAAACCTTTTTCCATCCTAATCCCACCACAGGAAGAAGCCAGGACTCTCAAAACGAGGGCACTACTCCACGTTGGGAATACCTTAGCTACTGACCAGGAGTAGCCATGAAAACCTTGAATCATTATTACCACTTTGGGTAACAATCGAGTTCATCCATGTGCGAGACAGCATCGTGGGACTGGCAGTGAGATGCAACATTGATTATGGTATTGAAAAGAGATAAAATGTAAGCAACACAACCCCGTACGCCGGTCATGTCAATACATTCAGTTGTGTCCCATCAGCAGGTCTACATTCGGCGCGACCAAAGCATTTTGACGATATACGATATTGTCGACGTACCGTGTAACCAAAACAAGTTATCCTACTGCGTAGCTAATCAGCCTAATCAGCCAGTCAGTCCAGAGACATGGCGGCCACCAAGGATGGTGTGGTGCAGATGAAAACATAAACGCGGCTTGTCAGGTTGAGGGCAATTAACGTACAGGGAACCTTACATGTCAACTTCATGTCAGCTGAAACTAAAAAACTGAACACGATCACCGCCATAATGGACAGCATAACACTAGTAGCTGAAACGGACGCTTAACTGGTATACAATCATTAAATAGGAAGGTCCCACTAAAACGTGAAAAGGAGGAGAATCAGTGGGAATTTGCTCCAAGCAGCCCTGTTCCTACAGAAAACGACCAACAGTGCCCACACCTTCCAAAACCCTTGAAATAAGCATGCCTGCGCATCGTGTTGGAGCAGGACTTCACCAGCAGGAATGACCCAACGTCTCTTGCAAACTTCCCCGATACAATCCAGCACACAACTACAGACAGACGTTAGCTAAGTAGGTTAAGAATTTATAGCTAACGCGCCAGTTTGGGTCGGTTACATGCAAGGCCTTGCGAGGTTTACAACCGCAGGCAAGGATCACGTGGACCTCAAACAGGAGTGCGCAAGCTGCACGCCAAAACAGGAAACCACTCCTGATAGCCCAGTTCGAATAGTTTGCGCACATGCATAATCGGCAAACGCCAGAACAATGCCACCCTCATTATCTAAGTCTCAGAGTCTTTCTCGAAATATGACATCGAAAGCCGGATTCGTGGTCCTTTGGAGAATACATTCCATCCGACAAAAAACTGCTCACTGATAGGACACCTCCTTGGAGAGCCTTATCAGTTGTGGAGAAGCTTCCGGATAGCAAATTGTACACTCTGACCAGAAGTACGCGAGTAAATGACACGAGGAATATCCAAAAGCTACGAAGGCATTCCTAGTTGAACATGTGGAAGATCCATCTTATCCGGGAGGGACGAAAAAGTGGATGAGTCCAAAAACTAACCCATGAGCAGAAAGGGAAGGCTTGAGGTGACAAATACTGAATTAGAGCATCCCAGCCCCATCAACTCAAATCAGTATTGAAGCCACTCAGGATCACCATCATCATTATTATCAGCTAAAAGAACCATGTGCTTGTCGTACAGGAGTTGTAGATGCCACAGTTTCGTTCACCGATGACGTGTGGAGGTTGCGTAGCTAGTTGCGCATTGGAGGCGGGAGCTGATAAATTTGTGTGTAAATACAGCACTGCCAAAGGACCGTTAAGCGGGGCAATTCGGAAGGCAATCGCTTGGATGCACGAGCGCCACTGAGGGCAGGCACTACTACTACTCTTTCAGCTGCGACAATCGCTTTGGCTCGCAGCTGCCATGGATCCCGAAGGAAGCATGAGGGCTGGGATACTGTCAGATTGTCCAAGCCTAGACAGGGGAAGTCAAGAGGCAGAGGTCGGGTTTGAACCACGGACTTGCCGGTCAGTAAATTCGCGCTCTAACGACTTGATGTGTCTCGCAGCTGAGTTTATTGGCAATGTCTCTCATATTTTGCTGGTAAGTCATTGTTTGACCTCCCCTGGCTCGTCTCCAACCTTCACGTGATTGTGCGAAGAGAACCCTTCGGGGAAGTCGGTCGATTGGCACACGCAACACGTGGCCCAGCCAACGCAACCTATCAAGTATGATCAGTTCATCTATCGTGGGTGGGTTATTTCTTCCGAGGATTAGTCGATAAGACCGTGAACCAGGCCACCTAATTAGTGGGCAACGCGCTTCAACTCGATTGAACAAGTGTGATTAGGAGACACGATGGGAAAACACACAGTAATCGGAATCAGAGCGCTCTATGACAGCGTGGCGTTAACCTCCTCCTTATAGCGACCGGACATAACTTGAATTTAAATGTTTTCTAACATGACAGTGACGCAATAGGCTTTAAAGCCTGACTGAAGTCCTTGCGTTTTTAACATGATTGAACATCAGTTCAAAGTACCATACCAATGAGCAAGCCATGTATCTGTATGCGAGAGCAGTTTACCGATGAAAGTGCAGTTTTTTGGGATACTGTGTTTAGTACAAGGACGATGTCCAATCAACCAAAAACACACTAGAAAGCGAAAAATTTTTAAACCATTGTGTCTGATATGCACCACCATACCCAACTTCAGCAACGGTTAGTGTTAACGAATACATAAAGCATATGTCTTATTCGCGTGCAAAGGGATGTCTACCTCATACTATGAAGTCCTCAATAGACTCCCCCAGTTTTTAACGTCTACCAGGCTCTTCCAATTACTTGATATGGTTTGGTTAATCGCGCCACCAGTCTGCAAATCCCGTAAATCTATCTCCCTTTTCAGTCTCAATAGCAAACGGCGCTTTGTTTCAGCGGAGTCCACCTAAGTCATTGTGAAAATCAACTCAGATTTTCCTTCACAATTCTCACTCTAAATTTCCTGCTAATGCCCTTTAAAGTTGCTTCAACAAGAGACCAGTCACTGCCGCAGACCAAATCAACATATTTATGGACACCAATCTTTAGAAAAATGGTACAACTGTTCGGTAAGTTAGCTTAACCCTATCACCGCCAACCTGCCTCGTGAGACAAACAGTTCCGCGTAGGGGCAAAAGGTTAGATAACACCACAACAATTGCATCGGTTGAGAAACCATATGACCTGCATTCAACCGCTGTTTCGGACAAGCAGTACTTGGTTCGCTGTCTTCCATCCAGTGAGCGAAGTGTGGCTTAATTCACAGATGAGAGCATCGACAATTAATAAAATGGTGAATTTTGTTTTGTTTTTCAGAATGTTACTCCGTCTCCTCCGCTCAATTAGTGAGGGATTTCGCTAACGTGGAAGATTAGTGTAAACAAAATACATCAGACGTCAAACACATCAAGCGTTATTGAATCTGAGAGGACGACACGGCGACAAACTTCCGTGTCGGCCCGTAATCTGAACATGACGATACTACGACCATTCGTTGTAAACATTCAGCAAAGACTTGAAACTCTTAAACCCGGCTGCACGTCTTAGTACGTTTGAGGCAGAGCTCCATCACGACGGTCACTTATCGCAATAGGATTAACTTTGGCTTGATCGGATTCTCCAGGAAGCCGAAAGTTTTTGTTTCCAAAAGCGCCGTGATTCTCCAGGCTAACAGGACGCTATTTATAGAATTTTCGGTAACCAATGCGTCATTCGTCTGTTCTGGCGCGCCAAGCGAACATAGGCAGATGCATTTATACGGAATGTTTGATGAAATGTATTGACAGCCTTACAATCAGATGTTTGCACTAGCATCGCACTCATCATGTGATGGTCTGCCCCACGTTGTTGCCTGGCCTTGTAATACGTGAGCAGCACGTGCAGACAATAGCACATCGCTAGGTACTTGATCGTGTAGTTGTGTCACTCCGTAAAAAACAAGGGACTTGGATGTGACAGGGTGTCAAGGCCTAGATAATTAGAGCTGGTTATGGGAAACCCTGGATTACATACATGTGGAAAGGTATCCAGTTCTCCCAACTCAGCAGTGGAATAAAGTTCATCTCAGCTGAATCAACCGTAGAATGCGGGATTCAGCGTATTCCCTGATTCTGAATTTCACACATGTTTCACCTCAAATTCAGGCGTAAACCTGAAAAGAGAGCCTACATAGATGATTTAAATCGCACTGGGAACAGTTGATTGACGGAGGCCTAAAAACATACATAAAATTTCATTCTACCTGAATGGTGCACTGAAAGCTTCACAAAACGATTTTGTTGAGACCTACACAACACAAAACTCGTTCGTAACATGAAGTTAACCAGACCATGATGCCTCGCAGCAAAGGTGCACCAAGTTTTTGTTCGTTCGACTTAGCCTCAATCACTTAATTAATTCTAATAAGTTATCGCTGTTGCCACATGGTGCAGTGATGAGCCCAACGTACTTCCTGTGTAGGTTTTGGGTGCGAAATCGCCAGGCTCTTCCAGTCCATGGGATTGTAAGTTTAGCACATCAACTTGAATGCACTCACTGAAGGAAACCTTTGCCAAAACTGTGTAAACCGCATTCAGCTGCACGAGACCCTAGTGGGGATAGTGATCAACAAATCAAAAGCTCCCTACATGATTAATTTGACTGGATTTTATTGAAGATAATCACTCCGACTCCAATTGTAATAATACCGGCATCAAATGCTGTTCGCCCAGCCAGTCCGGTCACACACCACAGAGACATGACATCAGTGCCCCGCGCAGACCACGTTTCGGAAGCAAGCAAAATACTATACTATAAAAATAATGATTAACCAGCTGTAACTATCTTCCGGTGCACTGCTGCCATGCCACCCAAAGGACGAGGGCTAGATACTATAAAAATAATGATTAACCAGCTGTAACTATCTTCCGGTGCACTGCTGCCATGCCACCCAAAGGAAACACGAGGGCTAGGATAAGGTCAGGTTGCCAAACCTACACAGGAAGAATCGAGATGCAGAGGATGGATTGGAACCACGGACCTTTCGGTCAGGAAGTTCGTCCCTTAACCAGTGAGACATCTTGAGCCTAGGGAAAAACTGGAAGTGGAGTTTCACATCACCACAAATTGCTGGGGTCGAGGAAGCTGAAGTAAACCCAAAAAGCACGGCTGGCATTGTACGCGCCCAGCAAACCTCGTGAATGAACTGTTTGAACCGTTTTGGGCTACCCAGATCTTTTGCACGGGACCTGGTCTAGTGCCACCCGAAAAATGCGAATAAAACAGGGGGCAACGTTATCAACCGAGAACATCGCAGCGGTGCACGATCTAACGTACCAAATGTCTGATTTGTGAACTGTAATACCAACCCACCACTCAGTAGGTACAATAGGTTGAAACTGCAATACAACCAGTGCAATCTGATTGTCACAACTGTTGCACACACTACACTACAGCGGCGATATTTCAGTCGGTCACATACCGGCAAATAGGAGCGTCTGGATATTTTCAAAGTGGTAAAAAAGCTGTCGTACTGTTACAGTAGTGCGCTGATTTAGCAGTTTTGGTGTAACCATGTAATTGAGTAATGAATTACGTGAGGTTTGGTATTCTGGAGCTCTGGGATGAAATTTTAATGTGTGAAAATCCTGCGAACTGGTTTTGACCGCACAGTTAAACACCACATTCCTCTAACTTATGTATACCCTACAACTTCTGGATAGTTTATTCTACTAGCTCCTTTAAACCGGATGATATAGTTCCAGAAAAAATGATATCGTCGTCAGCAAAGTGTGCAGAAATTCGATTACATTTTCCACCACTTGACGTAACAATAAAAACGCTGAAGAGGCATGGATACCTATAGGCCAAACAGTCATGCGAAATGCGCGGACAAGCGGAACTGAACTACAAACGAGATTCCAAATTTCAGGTAGGAGAATATACCTGGAGAAAATCCTGAATGGAAGAAACACCATTCTAAGAGAAATGTGATTGTCGAAAAGGAAAAAGGTCGTGTCTGTCAGCCAGAGGAAACTTAAAGTAAAGAGTAAAGAAAATCGCATATTTCTGTTACGGTCATTTTTCGGTTTGTGTCTGGTTGTCTGCTAGCCGGAATTTTTCGAAAACAAATGCAGTGTTTTCGTCACCCGACTGCAAAGTTCTTATGTTACGAAATTTACGGATGAAGCGCCTGAAAAAAACAAGAGCAACATAAGTTTGTCACAAGGTGCGTATCTGAATGACATCATTGGACACGGATTACATCCACAAACTGCTACAGCAGATTTTCGTCCCAGCGCCACGTGATTGTCTGGCTCCGTGTTGCCAAGGCCTTGCACCACATGTAGGCAGTCAGAAGGTAACATCACGGGGCTGGTCGATCAACTTACTAGATGTGTTCCACCGAGAAAATCAGAAGGAATTGAATGTAAGAAGTATGCGATGAACTTATGTGTGACGGATTCCGCTGGACCCTGGATACCAAATGTTCTGAAGCTGTTCAACCAACCGTCACAAGGCACCGAGTTTCGGACGCCGCCACGTGGATTTCAAGGGTTGCTGATGAAATGATTTACACCGGTTTCGTCTCACCGTGGTCATTCCAACCGGAGAAAAACTACCCCAATTGAGCAAGGAGATAAGCGCACGATAAGCATTTATGGGGTAGCCAACAACGGACTGATTTTTTTTAAACTACTTGGACTTTTTGTCTTGTTGAAAATCGCGACACCGTCAGTCTCACATGGAACAGTCACTTTTAATCAACCGACAGGCAGTCTAAGGTACGAAAAAACTGGTTCATAGTCATTTTCACTGTTTTTGTCGATTATGAACTCCATGGAAGGTTGCGCGATCTACAAACTGAACAGTATGTAGTTGTTTGCTTTATTCAGTCGCCAGAGGAAATGAAATGCTAAAGCAGTAAGACTGTGGGGACGGTGGTTGTAAAACGTTATTGTGATGCTTTTCCCCGACGTATACGCATGGTGATATTCTTTAGGTAAGACATCCCACAAGGGATAGCAGTTTTGGTTTATCTCGTGGGTAACTACTGGCTATCATTTTTTCTCTAGAAAACGAGTGAACTGAAAGCAAACTGAAAGCGACGCGATACAAATGATCTTACTGAAACTGATTACTGAAAGGAACTTCCTACTTGGGTCTCCGAGATATAATTTTCACATTAAGAGCTGTAGGGATCAAACATATCAACGAATAGTAGTCCCGGAACCTACCAACCTTTAGTACGCCTGTTACGGAGGTGCATGGAGATCGCAAGCGATGGTTTATGACTGCTGTTTAGCTGACGAAAAATAAAGGCGCCTTTGATTCGACCAGAACTGTTCAACTTTATCGGAACCGCAAAAGACTAATACGGCACAGTAATGACTGTTAGGGCAATCATAACCCCCAAACTGCGGCCACCCAACACCCTCCTAAAAGATACAGCCAGGGTATGTTTCAAAAATAGCAAACGATTCACGCCAACTTGAATGTCAGCTGTGATAAGCAATGGCCAGACAAACCCTGACTCCGAAATGAGAAGTGAATTCGGGGGACCAAATAGTTGAACGTGTGGCTGGAAATGCAATTTCGAGTAAACCACAACGCTCTTGTGGAACAATTTCCTGTGGTGCATCTACACAGCAAGATAGACTATATACCTCAGCCAACAAATGAGCAACAACATTCGCAAAGATTTTGGCTAACGAGATAAAGTTTCGAGCGGCAACAAAAAAAAATCAAAGGTTACGTGTAAGACAACCATAAAGTGACTTTACTCTACCCACAAGCAGTGATTTCAACTTGAACCAAGAAAGCGTTCATCTGCGCTTATCGCACATGTCCGGAATAGGAGTGAATAATTGACTTACGCGTTGCATGACACTCCTTCTAAATTTCATCAAATCAGCTTCTGTGACCGCATCATCACCCAAGTTCTGGCGAATATTCCGCACTGCAATCATAATGTAATCCTAAATGAAGAGCAAATAGAGGAAGAACGAGATGAACGATACACGGCGGTGCGGTGAATTATGGAGTGAAATTGGTTTCCAGGCTACAATGCTTAAATGTCTGTGCAATCAATGTACAGTGGAAAAAACAGCTGAGTAAAGCTTATAAACAGATAGAACACCATACGTCGAGCAGCGGCGTGTAAAAATGACGCGAATGTTACACATGGGGTTTCCGGCTTTCCGCTTATCCAGTTAGACGACGGTTGTTACATTAGCTTCGCTAACAAAACCAAACTATTACACCCGGTCACCTGCGGCGAGTATAGGCGGACATAAAAACCATTGCCTTATTCGAGTGCATATGCCTCCATAGTTCAGGACACGCAGTTTACAACCACATGGTTTTGACATTGTCTCATCTAGGGGCAATAATTTTGTAGTTCTTCCTCCAAAAATTTCTGTCCTGAGAAAGAGCACCGCTAATTGAGATCATTTTCGTCTGGGTCCGTGAGAGGTGGCTCGGAATTGACAGATCGATCTGTAACTTTCAAGAAAACAAAAATCCATCCGATCTGAATTCCACAGTTTTCAAAAAACAAGAACCCAGAAAAACTCGTGAACCAAGCTTTCTTATATTTCTGTCTTGTCTCCACCGTAATCAGGAGCCTTATAACAGTACTTTTACCCATATGACACACAGGTATTGAAATTGGTTTATGTAACAGCAGCAAGCGGTATACGTATTTTAAGTTGAAACTTTGTAGGCAAAACAATGATCCGACTGTAGCCGGGTAACCCTTGTTAGCCTCATATAGCTCGGCAAGTCTACACATATTCAAATGATCCTGATCTGCGATTGTTGATTTAGCCCGCCTGATGTTTACCCTCCGTTGTGATCAAGTTCGTTCAATGTCAGAGCCGGAAAACGGGATAACGAAAAATGTTTAGCTTTGTTTAGCGTTTTTATGTGATCTTTGGAAGAGTTCAGGCGCATCACTTTACCTACCAACTATGATCAGAGGGAGAGAGGGGGAGCTGAGGAAACACTGAAAACTGTTTTAAGCGAATTCCGCGCTTTGAGAAGAACAGACTAGTGACCTTGACCTTAAAGCAATATCAGTGTGTAATTATCACAAACGTGTGAGATGAGATCAACCTAATCACTACTACTTGAAACAACGAGGAAGGTTAAAATAAGCATGGGATACGGTTGGTAGGTGAGATGGCTTTGAGAATGAATTCGCTAACTTGAACCATCCCGTTAGCCGAATCGGCTGGAAATTCACGATGCTTAGAGAGGATATGATAGCTAGAAAGTTGTACGCTTATGTCCTTAAACCGAGCACTACAATGCAGATGTGGGCATCCTTGAAGTGAGGGGGCGTAAGTCACTACGCAGCTCACTCAGGTCGAGAGGTATCAGATGAGTGCAGCCTGACGTGCGTGTTCGAAGTTCAAACCTGAACACTACGAGACCATTTGTTCCTTATAAGTACTTGGGTGAATTGATGGACTCTGGTGGACCTACATTCAAAGTCATTTGGAGGGCGTCCTTTAGGACTGACCACCTTTTAGGCAATTAGAAGAGGAATCCTAAGAAGGAAGGACATCACGGGTGAATAGGCGTTTCCGCGACACGAGGAAATTATTGGAAACCATTGAGCCTGAAGATGCGCGTGGCGTAATGCGTTGTTCTGTGTTTGATATGACGCAAACGAATTGACGGTCACCGTTTTTTCTGGATATAACATTTGTTCACTAGTATTAATTGGTTGATCTTTAACTGTCAATCAAATCCAAATGGGCAAGTGCCCTCACGCAACGCTGGGTGAGGCACGCAAAATATGAAGTTGCGCATAATGATATTCCACAAGTGAAAATTAGACCAACGTCACCAACAGTAACAGCAATGTTGAACATAAGTGCTTCAGAGTCGTACAACGATAATTTATTTGAATAAAGCCTTATTGCAAAAGGAGTTGCGAAATGACATTAGCAATACAATTCGGTGCGGTGCCATCGAGAGTAACACCAGATCATGTCCAAAAAAAGGACACAAATAATTTGGATAGAAAATAATAACAACAATGACACAGGAATCGCCTATAGCCCACATCTTGCAAAGCCTCCAGCCAAATTGAAGGAAGATCACACATCAGGAAAAGTAAACCATAGTTGGAGTGCCCATACCCCCCTTATTGGCGTCCATGCTCATCGCTAGCTCATCTAGCTCACTCTCAATTGAGTATTTATGATAGTACGGAAGCCAGTTAACTAATCTAGAAAGCAGGGTGGGGCAGCGCACTGAAAGACCACATAAGGACAGTTCGAGGGCAGGAATACCAACGTATTCTAACTGATTTGAAAGAGTCTCCGTTAACGAGAAAAGATTAACCAAATCAGTTAACGCTCGAGAATATCTTCTTTTGGAAGGCGGAAAGCGCGTGGCTAGTTGAAATTCTGGTGTAGCTAATTGATTCGAAGTCCCAGTGCAGTAACGTCCTAAAGCCGGCCTAGTAGATCGTAACGCGATTACATATACAAATACCAACGGATAGCACCAAAGGTTAACCCAAGCTAATAGTATCCACTACTTCGGCCGGAAAGCCTCGAAAACTGTAGATCTTACCTTCATATAGTGCTGTAGCACCTTATCCACAGCCTGATTGATGAATGGTTGAAGGAATTTACGTAGTAGACGCAAAGTGGAGTGGGGATCAACGATCAAACCAGTGTGCCTGCAGGGTGGACGGAAAAATTGATTTGAAAAATACTGGGAACATTAATAAACTCTGTTGAAATACACTGAGATCCTCTGAGGAGAGAATTTAAATCCTAACAAAATACCCAGTGTGTCTGGACGCAGGGTTCCATCTAGATAGGAAGAGGGTAGTGCAATAACGAGCCAGATTTTTCCATGTTTAGTCACCACTTACACGTGCGGTAGCCTAAATCACGAATTGCTAGGTTTTCAAAATACGATATTCATCCATAAGTTACATAAGCAACCAACAGATGGAAGTGGACCAGTCAAGTCGCTCTACTGCCACCATTCTTTACGGATGCCCATGCGATCTGAGACGGAGAATGTTAAATCACATTTTCTATGTAGCGCAAGCAAGCTCTAATTACGTGCAACGGTTAAGGGCATCCCTGCCATGACACATAAAATTGAGGTCATTGAGACAAATGGGAGGTAATAGCACGGTGTACATCACGAGCAGAACGGATAGTGGGAACTGTGCAGTGCAAATAAGGATACAGAATAAGGCTGTTACTGTTGCGAGTTAGCGCACCAAGCATACTGTGCATTGTTAGATACATGTAGCGTAATCTGACAGGGATGAATAATGACGTCCGTAGTGGAACAGACGGGTTCCTAACTGGGAATAACACTTGTTTACTCCTAAACAGCCAAATTAATACAGTCTAGGTCAAGAGATCAGTCTGTTTCACATTCCTTGTGGACGCATTTTTGGTCCGTGGCCGCGTGAAGATGACCTGAACGCAGAAAAACGTTAACCAAAGAGGACGCAACCGATTCGGCTACGTCCATCTGATCAGTTTCAAACGCCTGGTAGATTAGTTTTTACGAGGAAAAGTACTCAATCCATAACGAAAAGACTGGACCCTACTGTGATGTGGCTGTTTGTGTGCACCCGCGACCCACTGAGCTATACCGGTGGATGTCCTTGCGACAATCGCAGCGTCTCTCATACCAGGTTGGTCAGAGTTTAGAGGTCTAAAGAACACAGTATCTGGTCTCCCGGGTTCAAAGACTGGACCCTACTGTGATGTGGCTGTTTGTGTGCACCCGCGACCCACTGAGCTATACCGGTGGATGTCCTTGCGACAATCGCAGCGTCTCTCATACCAGGTTGGTCAGAGTTTAGAGGTCTAAAGAACTATCTATCTGGTCTCCCGGGTTCGGGGTTGGAACATGTATGGCAACTTGTTCTGCAAAAAATGAAGCACACTTGAATTTCCCGCTAAACACAGCTGTCTTTTGGTCAGGCTTTTGAGTCAAAGGCTCTGGTTGAGTACCCTATTCAACCTCCTGTACATGTATGGGCACCCTGGCAGTATCCCAGCCCAAGTACAGCCACGAATTGCATACATTCAAGTGAACTCGTGTAAAATCAGCCGTCGCGTGATGCCAGCAGCCTGGTCGCCTTTACTTGCTGCATACAACAGGGTGGGTAAACGAAAACAGGCTACTTCTGATGCCTTCCTCGTCCACCTCTCCCCACCCCATTAATGATTCTCTCCTTGTGGGCCCAGGAGTTTGGACTGATGATTCCGTTCGTCCTGCATCGGTTTCGCATGCAACATCTGCGCGTCATCCAGCATCAGTATCCTCATACGTCTCAAAATCATGATTCAAGCTTACACTCCCAGTCTATTTGACTACCTTCAATGTCCACACCCTGAAACAAGCAGGACAACAAGCTGCTCTTGTTCTCAAACTGGCTCCAAATCAGTCCTCAAGCCTCGATACCCACTCCATCTGGCCGCGTTCAATGTCCGCACTCCAAATCAGGCAGGACAACAGGCTTCTGCACTCACACTGGACTCGCTTGGCAATGATATGTGCTGTGTCTCAGAAACAAGAATTCAAGATGCAAGCACAGTGGTTGGGCTAACAGACCCATCACTCTTCACTCGCTTCCCTCTGCGCACATATGGTGATCCGGAGGCTGCTGCAGCGAGGTGCAGGGTTTGGTATCGCCTCAAGTCACCGGGCGGAAGTATCCTTGCTTGACTGGATACCCGTTGATTGTAGGACTTGTCTGGCAAAGTCCGTGAAGGAGTCTCACAAGCGGGAATAAGACAGCTGTCTGCTTACGCATCAACAGGCTGTAGCTCTGACACCACTGAAGACATGTTAATGACACCATGGATGTCCTGTTGAGACAAACTAAAAGCACAGATATCGTTGTGGTTGCCGAAGAACTCAGTGCACAAGTGAATAGGTTTATCGAACCTGATGTTCAATCAGGTGGTCGACATGGATTGGACTCGGTACTTACGGACAACCGTAAACGATTGCTCCAGATGTTTTACGCGGAGATAACCGAAGTCCCTTGGTTATATGGTATCCTCCAACGACGTTCCGGTTACGAACTCATATGATTCGCAGTGAGATCAGATACCGACGGATGAATAACTAACGAATGCCGGATTTGGAACAGATTTGTGAATTTCGACCATGCGTTTGACCAGAGACGCTTCTCTGCTTGTTTTGCAGGTCGCTTAAGTGCGTACAAATAGCCTGACAACTGCGAAATTGGCAGATCTGGATGTTAGATGAATTCAGCAGAATCGACTTCTAGTCTTTTCCAACTGTCCACTATCAGACGTGGACTCATCTTGGAAGGAGATCGCCATCTCGTACACAGTGCTGGGAGTTTTGTCTGCGGCACCTCGCTACCTGGCCCGTCCAGCACTGGATATCAGATTGAACAGTGCCACTGAATGAATCACGGAGAAATATCCCAGGCGGTTCTGAACATAATTCGGCTAAACAATTATCAAGTCAAGTGAAGGTGAGCGCACACACCGAATGTGGAGCCTGATGAACCCCGAAGGCTAAGGAAATGGAACAGGATCAGAAAACTGGGAAAACCCGAAGATTATTTCAGATGGTCCGTGTGACCAAACACCAAAAAAGACCTATGAGTGAAACCAGCGAGAATCAAAGTGGTGCGACCATTTTCACTGAAGAACACCTCGACCCTGGACCAACGTGTGACCAAACACCAAAAAAGACCTATGAGTGAAACCAGCGAGAATCAAAGTGGTGCGACCATTTTCACTGAAGAACACCTCGACCACTGGACCAACCAGTGAACAAAGACTATTATGGCCATCTGCTACCACTCAGTCGGACCCTTACAGCTTTTGAGATTTATGTTCTCTCAAGAAGCACCGACCTCCTACCCACATTGTTCAGATATGAAAGTGAAGTCCTCGGTCAGCACTTGCCTGATCTGTTTGCCCGCATTCAGGAAAAAGAGACTGTCCCAGACAACCGGGAAGAGTCAGTGATAGCACCCATTTTGAAAAAAGGGGCCCGTGGTGAGTGTGATCACCATAGGGAGAAGATTATTGAAGTCACTTGTGCATTATCACCTTATGTTGGTTCGCTAAACAGACTCGAATCGCAAGCGGGATTCCGGCCTCCACATTCTACCAGGTGCTAGTTAAACAACGTCATACGTACAAACGACCCACAATTCTAGTACTCCTGGATTTCCAAGGGGCATTCGACTCGGTTGATCAGTCTGCTCTCCTGGACACGCCCATCAAATGATGATCCGGAAGTCTGTGAACACACAATGTTCCTGGTGTTCTCAGACTTCCAGAACTGTCAGAGCACAAGGAAAGGCTTCCGTACACAAAGCGGTGTCCGCCAGAGTTGCCCACTCTCTCCATTCCCATTTAAATTCGTGATCGATAAAAAATGAGACGAACGCTGGAGGGTCTCCAAAACCCTGGTGTTCGAATAGCTGTGGCAGAAACCTTGTCGATACGGAATATGCAGACATCGTTCGAAGGCGCAGGTGTTTTTGACTGAACTGACCAAAGTCATCCCATCCTTCGGCATACATTTCGCACCCATAAAATGTAAGGTCAAGCTTCAGGATATGCAGTCACTAAACACGCCACTTACAACCCAAGGAGAGATACTCAAGGTTGTGGAGCGCTTCACGCACCTTCGAGCTTGTATTAGTGCTAATTGTAGTGCGGTAGATTAATTCAAGGCAAGAATCTGCAGGGATCGGGTCGCATTTGCTAACTTGAGACACCTATGGCGTGAAAGCGGTATATACCTGAAATTCAACGGAAATCTGTATCAGGCTACAGTACGGGATGTTTTGTTCTGTTGATGTGAGACTTGGCCTGTTCGAGCAGCGGAACTAATATATCAGGTTTCGACAACCGTTGTATCAAAGTCCTAGCTCATGCGGGTTGGTGTCAGCGAATCCGTAATGAGGCACTTAGGAAGAGGGTTTTCGGTTGTGCATTGGGGACTCCCTTTAAAGGATGTGTCTAGCATGTATCTTGTATTCGGAAACATCGTTTGCCTAAGAAAGTGCTGTTTCCTTGCCCAATCCGGAGTAGCGGAAGCAGATGTGGTGGTGTGAAAGATTACGAAAAGTTTCGATGTTGTCGGTGATATTCGCCTTCTTGGATGGGGACCGCATGGTCTCCACTACATCATCATCATCATCACGATCGAGAGAGAGAGAGAGAGCATGACATCAGCGTTCAACACTGACTTAATTGAAAGCCTTACTGTAAAGAAAAGAATGAAGGTGGACGAAGAAGGGACCTAGTGCTAGCTTATCACAATCATTCCGAAGTGCCTACACATTCAGACATTCACTCAGGCAATCTGGATAGAAACTGACAACAAGAACGCCACTGACATCGGTTGGCAGCCATATCTTGTAGTGTCTCCAACCAGGCACAGTGAGGAACACGTCGTTCCCATCCTCGAAGGCGAGTAGCACCGACAGCACCCAAGCGTTTCGTGATCTCCTTCATACTCCTCTACCAAGTCAAGGGTTGGCCACCTCTCTGTTTACGTCATTCTGAATTGGGTATGGAAAGTGGCACTCTCTTCGGCAAACGATGGTTCGGCATACGCAACACACGTCCAAACCAACGCAGCTTCTGGTGCTGGACACACTCTTCAATGGAACTCCCCGTCGCACAACCGAAAACGCGCTTT